TCACGTACACATCACGTCCACGTCACGTCCACATCATGTCCACATCATGTCCACATCACGTCTACATCACGTCCACATCACGTCTACATCACGTCTGTGACGTTGATTCTCCTCCCTGTTGTTCCAGCTCCAGGTTCTTCTCCTCTAACGGGCTCCTGAGAGAAGTCAACGAAGTGAATAAAATGAACGACTCTCTGCAGTTGGAGCTGCAGGTGAGGATCAGAGGAAACATCTTTGATCTAATGAAACTCCTTCAGGCGTCTCCACATCTGACGGGAGCTTTTTTCATGTGTTGGACAGAAAGCGTGCAGCGACGTGGAGGAGAGCGAGAGTCTGGTGGAATCGCTGCAGGCTGAAGTTTCAGCGCTGAGGAGGAGAGTCCGAGAGAAGCGGCAGAACGGAGCGGGGGAAGGTCGGTTTCCAGTTTATAAAACTTGTGACTCACGGCTGAGATGTTCAGAAACTCATCTTTGTGTGTGTTTGACTTTTTGCAGAAACCGTCAACGATCTGACGCCTGAACACAAGAACAACCTGCGGCTGCGTGAGGCGCTCGCAGCTCTGTTCACCAGCTCGCCGCTCTTCCACACACAGACTCTAACTCTGGAGGCGTTTCCTGTTCCTGCCGTCGGGATGAGCGACGCTCCAGCCTCCAATGAGACAAACTGTAGGAAGAGGCCCAGAGCGGCGTCAGTGGGGGGGGAGAGGAAACGCAGTAATGTCACATGACTCTGACGTCACTATGTTTGGAAGCAGCTGATTGGATCCTGACAACGAACAGTTGGGTTTGTTGAGTTTTTTGTTAAAAGTTTATTTGTTAAAAATAATATTGTATATAAAATATAACCTGAAAAATATTTAGGTTACTGTGTAAAACATTTTTAATACATTTCTGTTTGAATAATAAAAATGTGTCTGGTTATTTTAACTCAGTAGATTTTTTTACACGTTTAATTTTTACAGTTTTTACACTTTCACTTTGTTCAACGTGAAGAAAACAGGTTGATGAGATGAACAGAAAAAAACTGACGTTAAATGAGTCATAATTAAGTTTTTAATTCACAAATAACACAAACACACACACACACACAGGTCGTCTAATGCAGATGTTTGATGCCACAGATGTTGGGATCCCTCATGAACTGTGGGTGTTTGTGAGTCACCGACATGAAACCTGGAGGAAAGAGTTTTTAGATTTAGTGACATCTAGTGGTGAAATCACACATTGCAACCAACTGAACCCTGTGGACGGAGATGTTTTCAGACAGGAACTGTTTATACCCCTAACCCTTCTCACATGGACTCACTCTGACATTTTACAGATGTTTTACTAGAAGCTGCAGGAGAAGATCCAGAACATGTCCAGACACTGACTCAGACATTTGTTCTCACATAGAGAACACGTCAGGAACACGTGAGGAACATGTGAGGAACACGTCAGTGGTTCATGTCTGACAACATCTGCAGTCACATGACATTCACAGAATCTTACCCATGGAGTGAGCTTTCTTTATGGCCTTGGAGATTTCCTTCTGTTTTCTTCCACACAAACCTGAAAAGGAATCAGAGCGGAGACGACTCGAGTCACAGATCTGATCACCTGATCACCTGACGTCACATCGATCACCTGACGTCACAGACACTCACCTGTGATGTGTCGGCCGTAGATCCTGCCTGTGTGAGGGGAGATGAACTGAGACAGCAGCTGTAGGACAGGGAGACATGTTAGTGACGTCGCACGCATGCACACGCACACACACACACACAGGTGTCACTCACCTGGGTGTTCTTAAAATCCACGTGCACGTTACACAGGACACATCCGGTCTGAGCCTGTTTAAACGGATTTTCCATCTTCACGAGCTGAAAACATGAAAAATCATCACGTGGTTAAATTGATTAATGACGTAGTACCCGAGTTTCCTGTCGTGAATGACATCACTCACCACGTCATCTTTTCGTTGGACCGCGTGTGACGTCACGGTCCTCAGACCTGCAGAGATAAATGTCACATTCAGAGTCTCCTCACTGAGCTAGGTAGCATTAGCTTCAGCATCAGCTTCAGCATCAGCTTCAGCATCAGCTTCAGCATCAGCTGGAGGTAAACAGGTATTTAAATTTGAAAACGTAACAAACTGCGTCACGTCCACACAAAGAATAAAATAAATAAAAGAAGTTTGATCTTACTCGAGTTTCCACGTTGAGATAAAATCGAGTTTAAGCGCAGCGACAATCTCAGAGGGAACATGTTGACCTGACACAGGAAGAGGAGCGTCCGACCTCTGAGAGGCTCCGGGGCGTCCGTGAGGAGGAACTATCAGTTCCCACCTCTTCGTTTTTTAAATTAAATCCATAACATTATTTCAATGCGAAAACTTTCTACACATCAAATAATTATGAAGTTAATCATGTGATTCAGAGGCTTGTTATTAATTTATATTTATAGATTTACAATTTCTCACATGAATGCACTTGGTTCCGATCAGATTGTTTCTTTCGGGAAAGGATTAAACGTAACACTCCGCAAAGATATAACACAAGTCAAAATGTAATCCCCCTGAAACGAGCGACAAAGAAACAAACGAGATAAACACACAAAACGACAGAAACTAAAAAAGTGTTTAAAACAGTTGAAAACGTGTTTAAGTTT